AACCTCTATCTGTACCCTACGTGTATGTATATTACATGTTGCATCATGTGATCAGAATTGAAACTACCAGAACTATGAGAAACTAAAGGCTTTCAGGAGAAGGCTGAGAAAGATAAGTTGTATGCTAGCTAAGCATGTTGTTGTTAAAATAAACCCAAAGAGAATTTACTTTGTGAGTCCTTCAGGGGTGCCACTTACTTTCTCAATCTGTTTTGTTAAGAGGCTAATTGGATTAGATCGATTCAGAGGATATGTTCTTGATACAGAAAATGAAGACCTAAGTTGACAGGATCATGCTAGAGAAAAGAAAGCTAAGTAATTTTTTGTTAGGTACTGCAAATATTTTTAGTATCTCTAGAGATAGTTCTGATGCTCATGTGAAGTTGTTATTTTTATAACTTGGTTAACTTACATCTTAATTAAGACATTTCTTGGGAATGATGCTCACTTATATAAAATTAGTTATATTTAACAACAAAAAAAGAAAATATAGTTTGTGAAATAAAGCCATTTTCTTTGCAACTATAAAATCTTTGTATTCTTGCCCTGGCCGGTTTGGCTCAGTAGTTAGAGTGTTTCCCTGCAGACCAATAAGTCGCGGGTTTGATTCTGTTCAAGGGCACGTACCTTGGTTTTGATTTCTCCTGGCCCTGGTTTGGGTCATGTGGGAGGCAACCAGTCAATATATCCCTTTCACATAGATGTTTCTCTCTCTCTCTCTCTCTCTCTCTCTCTTTTTCTTTTCCTCTCTCTCCCTCCCACTCTATCTGAACAAAAATGGAAAAATGTCCTTGGGTGAGGATAAAAAAACAAAAGCAAACAACTTTGTATCCTTAAGTACAACTTCTTTTGTTTATGTCCATTTAGTTTAAGAAAAGAGGTGTGGCCTCTAAGAAGAGTGAAATACCTAGTGACTTCTGTTCCTGTAAACTTTTTTACATACCATTCTTTCTCAATTTCCTCCTAACTCTCCTATCCAAGTGAATTCATTTTACAAATATATATTGGCCATCTAGTATACCTCAACCATCCTACTGAGCACTTAAATAATGGCAATGAAGAAACAGACAAAAATCTCTGCCCTCTTGGGACTTATATCTGAGCTCACAGAGGATGGTGATGCAGAATATGATAAATACATCTAGATGATTAGCAAGGGCAAATCCAATCAATATTTTTAATTGCCCTTTTTGTGGGATTCTATCAGGACTCAAAATCACTCATGTTGCCCATAATTCTTGTATGAGGAGACAAATATTAAATAATGTAAATAAGTTAAATATTTGATGATCAAATATTATATTGAAAACAAATAAAAACATGATAGGAAAGATGGTATATTTGAATGTGCAATTTTGAATCGAGCAGGTCAAACTTTACTGAGAATCAGCATTCATGTAAAAATCTGAATTATGTTACATAACTAGTCATTTTAAATTTGAGTTTCTTATACTTAATGGAAAAATTTTAATAAATTTTAAAGCCAGTTGAAAGCTATAACTAACTAAATAATTACTATTTTAATTTGTTAATTAACCTATTGTTAGCAATTTGTCTGACAGGCCTCTAGAATCACTTAGTGTCTTATACCTGTCCCTGGACTTCAAGGAGTAGGCCACATTTAGGAACAGAGAGAACTAAGCGGGTGATTTGGAAGCTATCACAACAATATAAGTGAGAAAGAAAGAAAGTAAATGAAGACATTGATGTTTTTCCAAAGTGGTCAGGCATCTGCCTTCATTGTAGTCCTTTCATTGTTTCTTACTACCTTTGGGATGATGTCCAAACTTCTCTATTTTACATTGATACTCCTTCAAAAATTGGCCTCTTGCTGGATTCTCTAATAGGTGTGTCTATGTTGAGTAAAACTGTATTTATATAAATACATTGGCCAAATTTCTGCAGTTAGCTGTTTGCCTATCCCTGCTCTACTTGATGAAACTCTACCCTTCTTAGCAAATGGCTTTCTTTCTAAAAGTGATCACGAGAATCTGCTGAGTTTCCCACCAGCATGTCCACATTCCAGGTCGGAAGTTGGGGGAAGAGAAAAATGATTCAAAGATCACTCACCAGATGTTTCCCCAAATAGAACCTCACGCAACATCTGCTTATGTCTCATTAGCAGTTCTCCTTGCAAACAGGACTTGAGGAATGTGGTGGTTTAGATGGATATATTTTCATTCAATAAAATTAGGGTTCTGTAACCAAGGAAGCAAGAAAAACTGGATATTTGGTGGGCTTTTAGAAGTTTCTCTCATAATAACCAGATTCTCATCACTTAGAGTCAGTTTTCTTATTTGTCAAAAAGGGAGAATTAGTTCACAGAGTCATTTCGTGAAGACAGTGATCTAACACACACATGCTGTCCGGATTGAGCCATGCATACTGTGAACTCTAGATAACGCTGTTGTTGAAATTAGCCTTCTTCTTTTCTTTTCTGTATTTTGATCTCTTTGTATTCCCAGAGCCTAGAATGTTTTCTGGTATACTGAGGAGCTCATAAAACTTTTTTTTTTTTAAACACTTTCTTTTTTCTTTTTTACTTAAAAATTTTTTTTTCTTTATTGATCTTAGAGAGAGAGGAAGGGAGAGGGAGAGAGAGCTAGAAACATCAATGAGAGAGAACATTGGCCGCTTCCCGCATGCCCCCCACTGGGGATTTGGCCCACAACCTGGGCATGTGCCCTGACCAGAAATTTAACCGGTGACCTCCTAGTACGTGGGTTGATGCTCAACCACTGAGCTATATCGGCCGGGCTCTTCTTCTTTTTTCCTTTATTGATTTTAGAGAGAGAGGACGGGAGAAGGAGAGAGAGATAGAACCATCAATGAGAGAGAACATCAATCGGCATGCCCCCCACTGGGAATTGGGCCCACCACCAGGCATGTGCCCTGACTGGGAATCAAACCGGTGACCTCTCGGTCGATGCTCAACCACTGAGCCACACTGGCCGGGCTCAGAAAACATTTTTGAATAAACTGTCATTATCATAAGTTAAAATTTTTGTGTTGTAGGAAGCAGAAACTGTTTTTGCCCATTTTATCACTTATTAAAAGAGTATTACTTGCTTCCAGAACTGACAAGAAGCTGGAGAGTCAGTCTCAGACATGGACAGGTATCCAGTTATTATAAGTATTTAGGTACAACTACTTCCACTTTGTCCTTAAATCACTCCACCCAACATTGGAGGCCCCATGAGGCAAAGTCTAACATGCTGAAGGTGACCAGATCACCTGTCTCCCTTCGGACGCGAGAACAGGACACCTTAGAACAAGTCTCACCACACCTGCATGTAACTGGAGATAAAGAAGTGGATTGAAATCAGTGTGAAGGAAGAAACTAGGCAGAAGACACAAGGAAATGTCCACCACACATTTCCGTTTCTTTCAGTGTGCATTGCTTTCCCAAAGTCATAATGCTGACGCAAGAGCATCCCCTAGGAGGAAAAAGTGATCCAGTAATTTGGCCTCTGTTAACACAACCGAGTCTTAATTTCTTTCTCATCAAATAGAAAACCGTCACCATGTAAAAGTGAGTGCAGAAACCCTGAACAGATGGGACCAACGAGATCAGTTTTCTAAGGCAAAGATGACAAGCCATGACAATGAGGTTCTGGGGTTGATAATGGAGAGCAGTAAAGAGATGTAGAAAAAGGTTAGGGACCAAGACCAAATAAAGGTGCCATAGCTTTAGGTAGTGGCATCTGTCTTCTAATCATAAAATTGCATAAACAATTTAAGTAATTGTTTCTAAATACTTCATTTTCTCTATCTGTAACAATCATACTGCCAATCTGGTTGATTTCTGAGCAACTGATTATTGTCTCTGATAAAAAGTTGAAACCACATGGTTTTTCACTTGCTTTGCCTTTGTCGATGTAGCATATAGATTCCTGACAACCTAGGGATGTATTTGTAAACATGATTCAAAATCGTATCATTTACTGTCATGATGCAAGTCTGTCAGTCATTTGGGATTTGCTTTAATTTGGTAAATTTTATTGAAATTTTTTAAAATGATAAAATTAAAATTTTTTATTGTTTTAAAAATATGTGTTTTATTAGTTTTAGAGAAATAAAGAGAGAGGGAGAGAGAGAGAAACATCAGTGTTTCATATCAATCGGCTGCCTCCTGCACGCCCCCTACTGGGGATCAAGCCCTCCACCTGGGCATGGGCCCTGACGGGCAATCTAACCAGCAACCTTTTGGTACATGAAGCTATGCTCAACCAGCTGAGCCACATCAGCCAGGGAAAAATAATTCTCTCTATTTTATTTCTAGAAGCAAAATAATTTATATGATTCTCCAGGATTTATTTGCATGATTTTGAATATTTGTGTTACTACTGAGCACTATTCCAAAGCATTGTTGGCAATTTCATACACTAGTCAATTGTATTGCAAGGAGCTATAGAGCTAGGTAGCCCTTCTAATAACTTAGGTCTAGAAATTTTTTATATTATGTTTGTTTAGATGGTAAAGAATTGATAAATTCAGGTTGATAAAAATGACGCCCTTGTCAACTCTTCAAATGTGGAGTTTATAAAGTTGAACCAAAAAAATATTTTTATGAATCTAGACTTAAAATTCTATCTTTGACATCTTGTAATCTCAATCATATTTATTTCTATGAAGTGGCATTAGGAAATGTACGTTAATGCCATTAAAGAATCAATGAACAATTGAAGTTTGGATACTGTGCAAAATAGAAAAAGTTTAAAATACAATATTTAGGAACTAAAAGTTCTTAACATTCTATAACTTGTCAGTGGTTTTCTTGGTGCAACAATGCTAATCTTTTGATCTTTCTGTTTCTTTTTTTTGCAGTGCTTTAATGCATTATTGAAACTACAAACTAACATCCACGGTGGTTTCCTGTTGACAGATCACATATTTTGAAAGCTTGAGGTATTTTATCATGAAACATGCCTGGTGGAAAATCTGAAGCCTAGGATTCTGCCAAACTCCTGAATAAAGAATTCCTCATCTGGTATGTAAGAGACCTCACCGCCATCATGACAAACCAGGAAAAATGGGCCCACCTGAGCCCCTCAGAATTTTCTCAACTTCAGAAATACGCTGAGTGTAAGTATTCATATTGATAATATCATGTCACTTGGCATTTGTGTGAAACAAGGGATGATTGATTTACAGGAGCAGATTACAGATTATGATCAGTATTGGGATGGAGGTAGGTGAGTCTTTTGTGTTCGCGAGTAGATCGACTGCAGACTACCTTTTAGGCGTAAGACAAAGGAAAAGGTGAACTGAAATCAAACATCAACTCTGGAAGAAAAGGAACTAGCATGCTCGATACAAAATTAAAGTTGGAAAAGCTCCACCTGTAATAGAAGTAGCGTCTGGGAGAGTGGAGACTGGAGAGACGCGAGACAAGAACAAGGGCAAAAGGAAGAACAGAAAGACAGGTATCAGGAAATAAAAGGAGAAAAAGAAAATGGCATTCTACTTGATGACTCATAGAGATCAGGAGGAAGGGGAAATGTGAGATGTTTTCCTGTTTGTCAGCCTGACATTTCAAACAGGACTGGCAGTTTGGAGTCACAGACACGTGATGGAGTTGGCTTTCGAGGTTGTAAAAAAGGAAGAGTCGCCAGGCCTTTGGACAACTTGCTTAGTGTGTGTATTTATAGAAGAGTTAAGCCATAGTAATTTGCTTTATAGTGGGGTATTTTAAAATATTAAGTTTCCTTATATGTACAAGATAAGCTTTTACTTATAAGAAGCTTGTTTTTAACCATAGATTTTCAAGAATATGTCCGGTTCACAAAATGAGTTTCAGCGATATACACAAATAGCAACTGGGTCAAGGTACTGAAGAGAAAAAAAGGAAGCCGCTAATAAATAGGAGGCACTAAAAGGTTTGGAAGATGATGAGTAGAGAGAAAATAATCTATAGAGACGGTAGTCAAAATGGTGAGTGGAGGGAATAACATGGTGCTGGGAGAATAAAATGCAAGACCTACAAAGCGAAAAAGAGCCAGTGGCACGTAACAGTGGGAAAGGCCACATCTGCAGCAGCTGGTGAGGATAACGCAGAGAGGAGGGATGGCCCGGGGGAGATAAGTGGGAGCCAAGCTTGGCGAATAGGAAGGAGAGCCAGAGAAAACGGTGCCACACAGAAGAGGAATTTAGAATAATAAGAAATAAATGTAATGGCAGTAGTGAATAATAACATATTTACGAGGTACATATTATTAGTCAGGAACATTCATAAACAGCGCATCGTATCTGCAAAGTGCAACCTCACAGGTTTTCTTGGGCTTGCCTAACTTGAGGGCTGCAGTACTCTGGGGGAGGGTGTACGAGTATGGCTGGGTATTTTCCAGGGAGTCGTAAATCCATTAGAACATGCGCATTATTTGTAGTCAGTAATAATAAAAATACAACTATCGTATGGAAGAGGGGGGGTCATGAATTTTTGACATCAAAATAAGGTCCTCCTATCAAAAACTGTTTTCAGTCACTGAAAGTACAATTTACTCATTTATCATATAAAGAAAATTTAGCTAAGGATACCTAAATTCTTGTCTACATTCCTACACTCAATAATTTCTAAATTGACTAAAGATGATTTACTGATGGCTTCCAATTTTTATATACTCTTTGTGTTATATCCAAAAACCAAGTAAAGATTTCTGAGCATCTTCTTGAGGGATAATATTCTGCTTGGTGTTGCAGGAAATACAAATATGAACAGATATGGACCTTCCCTTCAAGGAATTTGCAGTTTAATGAAGGCTAAAAACGAATGGACTCTTATTTATAGGCAGAATATTTTCATTCTTTTTCTTCCTTTATTGATTTTTAGAGAGAGGAAGGGAGAGGGAGAGAGACGTAGAAACATCGATGAGAGAGAACATCGATTGGCTGCCTCTTGCATGCCTCCCACTGGGGATGCCTACAACCTGGGCATATGTCCTGATTGGGAATTGAACCGGCGACCTCTTAGTGCATGGGTCGATGCTCAACCACTGAGCCACATCAGCTGGACTCTAGGCCGAATATTTTAAGTGCCACAGACAAAGTTGGGGGTTCTGTAGGGCTTAAGTAGTCAATTCAAGATGAGGAAAGGGAAGTCTTCATGGAAGTAGGATTTGAGATGGTTCTTGAAATATAGGTTTAAGGTAAATGAAGAAGAAAATGATATAGATATAAAGGGATATTCAGCGTATATTTGAGGAGGAGAGATGGTGTGGCCACATTTAGCCATACAAGTTGTAAAAATGACATGGAATCAAATTATACAATGCTAAATTGAGTTAGGCAGTGAGGAGTAATTGTAAGGTTTATGGGTAGAGTCACACGAACAATGCTATGCTTCAGAACGTTTAATTGGACAACTATGAGAATGGTATGTGGTAATGGCCAGTGGGCTATTGAAATGGACTAAATCGTGTGGATGGATGATGAAAGATGACTAGAAAAGGGGAGCTTCAGATTAAAATGAACAGAGAAGAGCTTGGTAAATAATAAAATATGAGAATTGAGAGCTAAAGATTGATGGGGAATTTTGGTGACACAATCCCCCAAGAAAAGGAAACAATTAATTTGATTTATGTTTGTTGAACTTGGCTTGATTATTAAAATATGTTTTCCAGTCTTTCGATGCTTATAGGAAAAATGTCTTATAGGAAGCATTAATATAAAATAAACTATTGCCATAATCAGATATAATTTACAATTACTATTAATCAGATATTTCAAATTCCATTTGAATTGGTAAACAAAATTTAATACAACAGTCTCAAATATATCATAGGTTGCTACTTTTAGTGGCTAGGAAATATGGGGGTAAATTTAATTATATCAAGAATGCTTGATTTAGTAATCAATTTTGTAAATGCCCAAGACAAGTAATGACAATTGTCATAAATGTAGAAGTTGTAACATATTGAGGTAAAGGTTAATGAGCATTCAATAAATTGGTAGTAAGAAGAACATGGTAGCCCTGGCCAGTTTGGCTCAGCGGTTAGAGCGTCGGCCTGCGGTCCTGAGAGACCCGGGTTCGGTTCCCGCTAAGGGCGCGTACCTCGGTTGCAGTTTGTCCCCGGCCCTGGTCGGTTGTGTGGGTGGCAGCCACTCCATGTGTTCCTTTCACATTGATGTTTCTCTCTCTCTCTCTGTTCCTCTCTCTCCCTCCCACTCTACCTGAACAAAAAAATGGGAAAATGTCCTCGGGTGAGGATAAAAAAAAAAAAAAAGAAGAAGTAACATGGTAAATGTAAGAACAGTATTAAAATGGATTTCATGAGAAGACAAATTAACTAACTGTGAATAAAAAAATAGTGCAAATTCCATGATCACAAGGATTGCTATTCTTTTTTAAATAACTAAGACGACATAAAAAGTGCTAGATCTAATCCTCCATGATAGTGGTTTTCCAACATGCAATAGGTAACCACTGAGTTGGGGCACTGACCTCTTTTCCCTTAGATTGTCCAATGACAACAGCTGATACAATAGCCATCTGAATGAATCAAAATTATTTGTTGTTCAGATAAGCAAAAGATATATATATATATATATATATATATATATATATATATATATATATTTTTTTTTTTTGTTTGTTTGTTTGTTTGTTTGTTTGTTTGCCAGAGAATTTTAGTAATTAGTTCATGTGTACCGTGAGATAAAAAATGTTAAAAATTATTGTACCATGAAGTTTCCTATATAATTAAGAATCAAAGACTATCATGATTAGAATGTATCCTCATGTCATAAATTTTCACTGTCCAAATATAACTGGAAACACATTTATCATCCCGATGATGACAAAAGTCATCTATTTTCCATGTTTTAGTACAAACAATCTGCTTGTCTGCAGTGTTTAAGGACCAGATTCCCATGCTGCGGTGCAGTAGCAGCAAAGTGACATTCATCCATGCTCTATTACAAAAGTTGCATGTTCGGCGTGCTTTCTGGATGTTAATTGTTTTGTCATTTTCAATAAGAAATTATTTATATGTATAGGATGACAGATAAAAAAACAGGTTATTGATTTAAGTTTTCACTTATACTAAGACTATGTGTGGTATATATCAAATTAGTGTTGTATGTGCTTTTGGGGGATGGTGGGGGGCTGTGGAAATCTAGGTCAAGTTGAATAAGCTCATGGACCATGTACCCCAACAAAACCAAATTATTCAAGTTTAACCTAGAGAATATCATTTTCCTAAGTCATGTGATTTTGGATTCTCTCTGCAATTGCCACAATATACCCCGTCTGGGCTGCTATCACAAAATACCACAGGTTGGGTGATTTGTACACAACAGAAAATGTATTTTTCAAAGTCCCAGATCAGGGTGCCAGCATGGTTGGGTACTGATAAGGACCTTCTCTTGGGTTGCAAAATGTCATCTATTTGTATCCTCACATAATGGAAAGAGCAAAAGAAGAGCAACAAGCTCTCCAGGAACTCTTAAAAGGGCACCAATCCATTAATTAATCAGAACTCCACCCTCATGACCTCACTAATCCCACTGACCTTCCAAAGACCCTTCACATTGGGGATGGGGCTTTAACATATTCATTTAACATATAATTAACATCACCCACTATACTCTGCAACTATAACTGATTTCTCAACTTCTAGGCTTTTCTCATGGTTTATTGGGATAAAAAGATTGATATTGGGCCCAGCCAGTGTGGCTCAGTGGTTGAGCATCGACCCAGGCACCAAGAGGTCGCCGGTTCAATTCCCGGTCAGGGCACATGCGCAGGTTGTAGGCCCAGTTCCCAGTGGGGGACATGCAGGAGGCTGCCAATCGATGTTCTTGCTCATCGATGTTTCTATCTCTCCCTCTCCCTTTCTCTCTCTAAAATTAAAAAAAAAAAAAAAAAAGAGAGTGATATTGGCCCAGTATTCCTGGTTAGGCAGCAGCTAGCATGTCAGACAGCTCGTGTTCAAATCCTGGTCCTACCATATTTTAGGTTTCTGACTTTGGGAAAGTAACTTAACACCACCGTGTCCCATTTTCCACACTAGTGAAATGGGGAAAACAATAAATATGTCAAGAATTGTATTAAATTGAACGAGTTAATACATGCCAAGTAAGAACAT